AAAGGATCAAATGTGATTGATAAGGAGGCTCCATTTTAATCAGTACTTTGGTCAGTGTGAACCTGACAGGATTAAATTGGATCAGAGTGATTCGATCGGGGTAAACGTAGTGTGAGCTTCTGTTCAGGTCAGATTCAGTATTGCATTAAAAAATCTGCCCGGATCTACCTAGCACAAAAATGTAAGTGTGCATGGGGCCCAAGTTTTATTTATTATAAACTTCTATGGTTCTTCTTCAGTTCTTGTCATCTTTAGTTAAAAGAAAATATTCAGGAAGTGAGATTTGAGACACTGGAGAAGTCCTGACTTTCAAAACAGATATACTGGACTTGATGGACAAATAAAAATAGTGCAAAACAACTTATTATCTTCCCTATGTATATTCTCCACTGTCTGTCATCCTTATTGAATAACTTTATCTGGATATTTATTTAAACTACCCAAATGGATAATGGCTGCTTTTATATTCTACCAGCTGCTTTAGTATGATCTAAGTGTCTCTTGGAATTGACTGCAGTTTTAGGATTTACTACATCTCAGCAAATATGCATGTGTCAATAAAACATATATAAACGTAAACGATGATGATGGTGGGATAGCATTTCACTGCTTTGTTTACATGATCTTGCAGCTCTCCTTGGAAAGACTGGTGACAGAAAGAAAGAGAGCAAGTGAGCCAGCCAAGAGGACAAAATGTATACAAATGAATGCAGGAAAAATACAGGCACTGAAATGAGGCACCCTGAAATAACTTTGGTAAGCAAAAGAGATTTGGCAGTAGGAGGTCTGCCATCATTAAACCAAAATTTACTAATACCTTGCCAATAAAGTTTCCAAATTAAGATCCACAACCAACTCTTTCCCTAAAAATAAAAATAAAAATCTAGTAACTGATATTGAGTTACGTTAGGCTCTAGCAGGTTATGATGTGCTTCACTAGGTTACATATAAAATTAAATATAACACCAGTAAGGGAAAGCTAAGATAAACTAAAATAGTAAATTGTGGAATGGGGAGCATTTATTTGCAATTGAAAGCATGATTACAATTACTCTCACACAGCTTTAAATCTGTAGTAGATCACTATGATTTGACTGATCTCCAAGGTTATACCTATTAATAACTGTACCTGATATTTACTGCTCTCAGCCAACTGAATAAAAGATTGTCAGCAGAGACATGGACTATATAACCTGCTATAGACTCCAATCTGCTGAGCCTGCTAGATAGTACACTAGATCATTCTTGGGGCACACACTTAACAGTGACATCTGTGTCTGACCAAGATACTTTCCCTCTGGATAAAAATATGAAAAAAATGTCTCCCATTCCAAATACAGAGACTGAACAGAAAGACTGTTAGCCAGATATAGGAGTTATCATTCAGGGCAGCATGTAGTTTTCTCTGCTGAAAAGTTCTAGTACACTTCCCTGCCTTTGAATGGAAGCCTAACAGTTAGTGCTATTAATCTGCTATAAGAGTATAGTTAGGATATGCTAAAATGCTCTTTTTACTATATCCACATGAGAAATGCATTAAATGATCAGTACCAAAAATATTCACCAGTGCCATTTTAGGATTCATTCAAAAATTCTAGTTCTAGTCTCCAATGGATTTGTAGGATGCTCAGATTACTATTTGGCTCTCTGGTGATTTGTCAAAGAATATTAAATCCTGCAGGAACCTGTTTTGTATTCCTGTTTACAGCACAGAAAAGAAAGGAAGGAGACAATGTAACCACCAGTTCTTTATTTGCAACGTCAGAAAGGACCTACTGGAATTATTTTTAACTAACTATATTCCATCTAGGTGTAAATCAGAGTATATGGTTATAGTGCTATGTTCCCCAACTTTTTCTATGCTCCACATCCCTAGGAGATGTTTGATTAATGTTCTCCTACAAAGTATCATCACATTTGAAGATGAAGAGTGTTAGCTGATGTCCTCCATTTTTATTATATATTTTAGCCATGTAGAGTTCCCTATGACCCCAGCTGACCCTTGGGAGATGGCAGCCATAATCCCCTAGATGTAAGGTCAGGTAAGCAAGCTGAAATTGCTTAAGACCACTAGAAATTTCCTGGACAGGCAGGTTTTGGGAATTGCCCTTGGGAATATCCCATTATGCTGGAAAAGATACCTAATGATGTTTGTTTATCTTAGTCTCACACTTGATGGGACAGTGATCAGATTTGATTGCACCCCTTTTAATCTAGCTTCCTTTCCTTGATAGTTTTGAAACCAAATGCATTGTTTAGACTATGCCCAGACTTAAGTTAACAATAGTAAACCCATCAAGCCTTTGTCCACCTATTGTTTAACTCATGGCCAGAAGGCAGAAATTCCCTATAAGAACCCCTGGATTTTAGCAGACCTTGTACTACCTTGGAAGTGCATGCTGAATCTCTGTTGGTCTGCACTCTGAGATAATTCCCGCAACCCCCTCTCTTGCCAGTCTTGCCCCTTCCATGGAACTCATCCTCATTTGCCGCCAGAAGCCCAGAGGAGTCCCTCGGGTGTGAGTATATCCCTCTATCTGGTTTTCCCTCTTTGACTCCCCCGCTCTCATTCTTCCCTGCTTATTCTTTGTGTGTGTATGTGTGTGTGACATTTGGATGTTTGCTTATTTTTGCAAATAAATATTTTAGACTTTGAAGCTTGGTCCGTTTCAATGTCTTTCCTTGCCAGAACTTTTACATCTCTGGTATACAATTGGATAAGATCTCAGAAGCAAAGTTGGGCGCTTCCCTCTCACATTTTAGCTAATTACAAATTCCCCAAAGTTAGGTCTTCGTTTTCCAACAAGAGGTCCAATTTCTAATTTTTATACCACAAATTGAACCACATGCAATACTGCAGGTGAACAAATTTAATTTAAAAAATAAGCTTTTAATACAGTGCATAAAATGCAAATCTAATTTATTCAGAAAAAATGAGTGAGTCATCTCTCAAGGACACAACACATTCTCCCCCCCCCCCCAAAAAAAATCCATGTCACACCCCTGGGTGTGCAGACAGCCCAACCTGGGAATCCCTGCTATAGTGTCAAGTTGTGGGTCTAATAGGAAGGCACTCCCTCTTCTTGATTCTCAACGTATCCATGTGTTTTGGGAATTTGCAATGATGGAAGCAACAGAAAACACTACAAGCATCTGGCAAATACATAGTAATAGCTTCATAAAAATAATTTGTTATCATCAATTTACAAAATAACCATAAGTTAAGAATAGTGCAGGAAATGAAGATATCACAGATGGTACTTAGGTAAAATGACCTTGTTTTGTTGTGTTTTGTTCTCACTTAATGTGAAAGTTTTCCTTCTTCCTTGATGCCCCATTTTTCCCAAGTGAGATTTTGAATTAATAAGTTTCAAAACGAAAGAGAATAATGGAAGGATGATTTAGAAAGTGACTTTTTAGTGAGTGTGATTTATTGACATATGAACCTGAGATAATAAACTATAGTCTAACCCTGGTTTCATACACATGTTTTTAAACGGTGAATAAATCACAGTTTCTCAGTTTAGCATTCAGGGGAAATCATAATTGATTCAGCCAGGCTAGAACATCAAAGCTTGAAGTATGAGAAGGAATCAATTATTTTTTGTTAGCTTAACCCAAGGAAGAGATGTTTGTAAAAAGGAGGGATAGCATTTAATTAATTCATTAATTAATAGTCAATTTTTCCCCTCTATATGGGACCCAAAGCAGCTAACACTATACATTAAAACAAAGCAGCTAAAACCATTAGAAGTACAAAAAAAATAAAAGTATTAAATACATTCCACTTAAAAACACTCATTTAAAACATTTAACATAGCATTAAAATCATTTACACATTAAAAACTATCACACCCATTGCCTTACCCAAACCAGTTAAAAACTGAAGTCCTGTTTAAATAAGAAGACCTTTGCCAGACAGCAAAAGATCAGGGCCAAGATTTCATCTGCACTCAAAAATAATCCATGTTGATACTTTTAACTGCCATGGCTCAGTGCTGTGGAATCCTGGGATTTGTACCTTTTTTTGGCACCAAAGCTCTCTGACCAGGAAGGCTAAATATCTCACAAAACTAAAAATCCCAGAATTCCATAGCATTAAGTCATGTCAGCCAAAATGGTGTCAAATTGGATTATTTCTGAAGTGCAGATGCAACCTGAGCCTCACATGCAGAGCGTTCCATAGCCAATGGGAAGAACGCAAGACGTCTCTTTCCTGGATCCTCACCAACCATACTTGTGACAGGTAGGACTGAGAAAAAGTCCTCTATTGAAGATCTTAATGCTTGGGTAGGTTCATAGAGGAAGATACAGTCTTTTGGGTATCCTGGACTATAGCTATATATTGCTTTATAGGTCATAACCAGCACCTTGAATTGTGCCCAGAAATAGACCAGTAGCTAATGAAGTTGTTTCAGCAAGAGAGTCATGTGTTCCCTATAATCAGCCCCAGTCAACATAGCATTTTGAACCTGCTGGTCAGGGTTGGTTATAAAAGGTATACCTTAGCAGAGTGGTGTCATTAGAGTTAGAAGTCAAGATGACACCAAGATGATTAAATTGAGGCTAATGTACTTTGGACATAT